CTGTAAATTTTTACATACATTATTATTATTATTATTATTATTATTATTATTATTATTATTATTATTATTATTATTATATATATATATATATATAGAAGGAGTAGTTATAATAATTGTAAGCTGGTTCCGAAGAGAAGCAGAAGCAAAGGAAAATGAGCATTGACCATAGGTTTTGGTAGATTATTGGAAACAGAGAGGAGATTATATAGCCTATATGTATATCTATGTCCATATATAGGCCTATACTGTATCTTATCTATTGAATACAATCAAAGTTATTTTCTTCCATTAGGTAAACGTATGCTTCGTACCACGGTACGATCATGGACTAGGTCCATGGTACGATGCACTAAAATATTTCTGAAAGCATAGGCCTATTTCTAAAGCAAATGAAAATATTGCCACGCATGCTTTTGTTGGATAGGCCTATTTTAATGTTGTTTCCGATTATATTGTGCACGTTTTTTAAGCACGTCAGGTCATCATACTTCATGAATACGTTTTACTTCACTGAAATCATGTCATTGATTGTTCTATTCCTGTCATTATTATATTGTTAGAAGGTTTGCATGTCGAAGTAATGTTAGTGGTAGTAGCCTACATAGTTCTGAAATGTTGTTTTGTTGAGAATATTTCGACGTTTTTACTTCAATCGTAACCAGGAGAATAATGTCAATCAAAACGTCGAGATTTAAAAATAGAAAATACCCGTGTACAACAACAAAAATTATAAATTTAGACACAAGTTGATTTAAAATGTTGAATCATTATTAATGATATATATGTATTATATATATTTCTATAAATTAATCAACAAATATCTCAATTATCACACTATCGTAAATAGACCTATTGAAGTATTATTAAAGTATTATTAATTCTTAATGCATTATTCGAGCACCTTTATTATTATTATTTTATAACCATAGTAACATTGAAAACATGAATTATGTGGATAAAATTATCACAGAAAATAAACTTATAATTTATAAGATTATATTTTAAAACAAAATAAAATAGATAACATCTTTATTTAAAAAACAGGTTTTGCATAGACGCAAGTTGATTTAATATTATGCTGATTCATCTAATTTATCAAACTATCGTAAAAAGGTCAATTAAAGTATTATTAAAGTATTATTTATTATTATAGTATTATTCGAGCACTATTATTATTATTATTATTATTATTATTACTATTATTATAACTACTATTTTATTCATAATTCTTGTTGTATTTTTTGTTTTATGTATGGGCCTAGGTATATGTATATATTTAATAATTAGAAATAATCATAATTAATTGTAAAACATATATAATATAATGTTAACAATAATATAGGCTAGCTAGGCTAGACCGAAACAATTATTGATACCATAATCTATCGATAAAAACATCCCTTTGATTAATTAAACAGCTGCTTTTCGAGTGGCAGTGCCGACAGAAAATCGGAGCTTTTTCCGCACTGCGGCAATGCCGATAGATAAATAACAGCTTTTTTCGCACTGTGGCAGTGCCGATAGAAATCAGCAGCTTTTTCGCACTGCGGCAGTGCCGATAGAAAACAGCAACTTTTTGCCACTGCGGCAGTGCCGATAGAAAACAGTAGCTTTTCTTTCGCATTGCGGCAGTGCCGATAGCCACTACCATACTTTACATCGTTAAACAAAATCAGGAATATTGTAGTTCATCCCAAAGACAACATAGAAAAGGAAAACACATGTCTATGAGATTGGATGTAAAAATTGTGACAAAGTTTATATTGGCGAAACGGGAAGGGCACTAAAAACGAGAACAAAAGAACACATGAAAGATGTAGAGAAACATAACGTTGGAGTAAGAACAAGGACCGGCAGAAAATCCTCATCTACACAATTACACAAATCGGCTATAACGGATCATATGACGCAAGAAAATCACATACCAGACTGGGAGAATATCAATAGCCTACATAAAGAACAAGGGTGGCTAAAACGGAAAATTAAAGAATCCTTCTTGGTAGATACATGTTCACATCATTCCACAACGACAGAGGCTGAAATGAACCATAACATCGGGGTAACCACCTACTCTTCCGAAAGATGCAATGGGTTGTTTAGTGCACACGAGCCAGATGTATACACTGGACCTCCATTTTTAAGTCCTTATCCGAGAAGACTTGGTTCTACCAACCGAACCATGGGCGATGAGCAGCTGGAACCAGCGCCGATGTTAAGGCTGTAGCTAGCGGCGCCCCTGTCTTACCGCTCGGCCACGCGACTCGCCTAAAAATATAGACGAAGGCGCACATCGCGGCCTCTCACACCTATATGATCAACTTTAAAGACGGCTGGAGAGGCCCGCTACCATCGAGCATCGGCGAAAACCCTTCACAGATTCGACGAAACATGCATTAGGCAGACCAGCCCTCCTTAAAACCATTATACCTCCATGCTTAAACAAACGTTAGAATACCGCACTTTCGGCGGTAAAGAACAATTAAAACCTCATAAAAAAAGCAACTAATCCGTTTACCTATAATTGAATCCAAGGACACCAGTGTAACCTTGATAATGTGTTAATCCAATTAATACAGTGAGATAACGTAACGTTAGTTTATTGAGGGCGGGTTGAGCTAATGTGACTGATAGCCATGCGAAACGGTCAACAAAAAAAAAACAGTGAGTAATAATTGGTTTATGACAAGGAATTGTACAT